TATGAGGGAAAAATCAATTGTAACATACGTTGAGGCAACATACGTTGAGGTAACTATTAATTCAGCAAGCGTTAACGCCAATATAAATAAATTGTAACATATGACATCAATTGTAACATACGTTGAGGCAACATACGTTGAGGTAATTATTAATTCAGCAAGCGTTAACTATAAATAAATTGTAACATAATTATGCATGTATCAATTAAAACGTCATTAAGTGTTAACTATAAATATACATAGTTATGGTTTATGCATGTATCTATATGTTTTATTATGTATGTGTTATGTTTTGTATGTATGCGTTTTAACATAAATTTGTATGTTAATAGTATTAGATTGTATGTTTTATGTATGTGTTATGTTATGTATGTATATGGTTTAGCATAAATTTGAGAGCACTTTGGGAAGAAATGTTTTAACATACCAACACACTTTTATAATAGTATTTGATTATTCATCTTTCTTTTATAATGTAATTTTTTAAGTGTTTTTACTTTCATAACACTATACTTCCTCAGGTCAAGCTCGGTTTCATGCCGATCCAAATGAAATAAAAATTTAATATACTTCCTCAGGTCAAGCTCGGTTTCATGCCGATCCAAATGAAATAAAAATTTAAATTGGCTTTAGATTATATTTATCTCCGGTTTCATGCCGATCCAAATGAAATAAAAATTTAAATTGGCTTTAGATTATATTTATCTCCTGATAATTTAACTATCAACATAAAAAATTAAACTGGGTGTAGCATATTCAAACAAACATCAAATAAATAAATAATCAAAGGTAATCGAGGAATAAATGTTAGTAAGAAAATAAACAAAAATATTTAAATTAAAGTGAGCAAAAATTATCAAAGTGTAACCGAGGAACAAATTTTAGTAAGAAAATAAACAAAAAATAACTAATCACGGTATTTAACCACGTGCATTGCACATGTAAAAATCTAGTATGCGTGTGTGTATATATATATTGCAGTAGCGCGTGTCAATTTTGCTCTTTCTATTATTAGTTTTTTGGGGGAAAAATAACTGGCCTTCTTTTGCCGTAAAAAAAAAGGGTTACCATCTGAAAACCTTTACCCAAATTATCATAGAATTCTGATTCGTCTACTCCAAATTACTATTTTTTGTTACGCTTTCTCCTATTTTGTCAACTTAAAAAGTCTCAGATTAGGTGGAAAATTGCGAGTTTCGGCCAATGCAATTATGCAAGCGACTCATTTCTCTGAAACGATCCCAAACGTCGGAAACGGTAACATGCAAAAGTTCCAATGCTGGTAGTTATTAGTTATCTAGGTAAATATATACAGCTTTAGATTTCTCTATCATCAAGTTGTCATCATTATGAATATTTACTTAGGTTTCCACCCTTTGATATTTGATGTAGCAACAATTTGCTGTCTTTTGATGTTGATTTTTCAAAGAGGATGGTTTTGCCAAAGGGTTTGGGAGAAGGCTTCCATTTGAAAGTTTTCTTGGAAAATTCTCAATCTTGAGCTGGACGTTGAGATTTTCAATATTTTTTTTATTTTCCTGAATAGTTTCTTGTTTTCATTTCTTTAAAATGCAGTGGAACAAATGCATTCTCAGTGAGAAAGGAGAGAAAGAAATCACGGATGTTGTATTTGCACAGATGTCAGTGATACTTACTTAATAGTAAACACCCCCTCCACCACACTAATAATGAGAATTAAGGGTTATAATTTTATACAACAATATTTCTGGCTGTTCATTGCTATAAAGTTTTGCATCTTGCTCTGCAGCTTAAGTTACAAATAATCAACCATGAATACTTTCAGTTAAAACACTGCTTCTTAGAGGAAGACCCAATCTGTCGTCGGAAAAAGCTTGCTTGGCATGAAGGGCCTTTCACCAAATCAACCATAACAAGATAATCAACTTCTTTATTAATTTCAACCCGAAATTTTTCCAAGTCTCTGCACACGACTAAAGCAATTGGGCAATGTTCAAATGTAAAACCATAACATTTATCATAACCGAAGTGTCCGCATACAATGAACTAAATATATTTATAAGTGTTCGTCTATGATGAATGTGCGTTCATTGTTGTCTGATATCAAAGGGAGATAGAATTTAGTAGTTTTTGGAAACTTTAGCTTGAAGGTGTGTATCCTTGTGGCCACTGACAGCGTAGTGGCATCATTCCTTTGTGCAATCCGATTAGATCGGAGCAATAAGTGTTATCAGAGAGAGAGAGAGATCACTACGCTTCTTTATTACATTCTTACCTTTATTTCATTGTGATTGTAATCTGTAGATAGAGACCTCGACTGCGCAAGTAAGGCAACATGTCCTATTCACTGGTGATTCACTGATTCTTTAAAGAGAGAGAAAAAAAACCATTAACTTTACAAACCCCTTTATAATTCTTTAAAGGGGTTATCATAATTCACTGATTCTAGCTTTTCTAGGGTGAGGAAGAAGCACTTTCACTTACTTTTGCTTAAAGCAAGGCGCCTTTATGTCACGATGAGAAAGAAAGTTGAAGCAATCATATGAATTAGACAATTCTTTGTATGAATATCCCTAATCAAATCAATTGGTTAACAAAAAGATCGATAATGGACTCTCTGTACCATAAATATAATGCTACTGGAGTTGGCCATACAGTGCCTGTATGAGGTGCATACTCCAGCTTTCCCTTAAATAGTGAAGAGAGAGAAAAAAAAGTTAAACTCTATAATCGCCCTTTATGATTCTTAAAAAAGGGTTATTTAATTCATTGATTCTAGCTTTACTAGGATGAAAATAAACCATAACTCTTTCGAGAAAATTTATCCTTATTTCTGGAGAAATTAACCATAGACATCAGAAGGGTTCCATGAATATGATCATTTTATCAAAAGGAATAATCTGAATTAAGTGAAGATAAGCAATTTTCCATGAATATGATCATTTGATAGAGCATACCGGCATTTCTCTAAAACTACTTTCATTGTTTTACTATTCTTCATGTGGTGAGGGGATATCGGCGGATTTCTAAAGGAGGTCAAGCTATCAGTCTCCTAAGCATACCTTCTTAAAAGTTAAAGGTAAATCGCTTTGGAGAAATGGTGATATCTTTGTAAACATTAGGTTCGTTAGGTTTTTGAATAAGTTATGGATGGGACAATGAATGCAACTGGCAGGTGTAATTGAAAACCAGGACAACCAATTCGTACCCTGCCCAACCAACTCGTAACCTTGACAGCCAATGCGTAATCTTGACAACCAACGTGTAACATTCACAACCAACTCGTACACTTCACAACCAACTCGTAAACTTCATAACCAACACGTAACCTTCATTCACCACCAACTCTAAGCTTAAAAACAAACTTATTACAGTGAAATAACAACAATATATAAATTTACATACTCTAATTTAATCTTAAGTCATCGATTTCAAAAAAATTACAACAATATGTAAACTTAAGGGGGTTGGCGACGAAACTCGTCATCACTGTTTTTAAGATCACGGTTTTTTTTGCCTCATGAATGAACGCCGGGAAAGTTTCACCGTCGATGTTGACGGCGATGGAAAAATTTTGAGGGAACTAGAATTTTCCCCCCAAAACTCTTTTCAAATCGTCACAGTAACATCATGAAAAGAAAAGAGAGAGAAATGGTATTATGGTCTTCACATGTTTTAAACTCTTGGATTTTGTATTTTTTGGGCTCTAAGAATTATGGCTTTACTTTTGGGGGTTTTGGGAGCATTGAAAAAATCTTGGGAGGAGGCGGAATACTTGTATGTTTATATGTAAGCTCAATATATGTACACTTAACACGATTTCTGACGTTTTCTATCACATAAATGATTTTTCATCAAACATCGTTACAATATCTTTTATCTCATGTTTACAGCTCATTCATACTTTATTATATACACATAATACATGCATGAGATATATTTACGTATTTATGAGTCATATCAAAATTTTCATATTCGTAAAATACAGGTTTTACGAACACTTTTCAAAAACAGTGTGTTTTTACAAACGAAAATTATTTTTTCAAAAATTCCTTTTCTAACATGTTCATTTTATCATTTAGAAACTTTCCCCAAAGTTTTATTATTTTTGGAATTGATTTAATATTTTTTATGCATTTTCAAATTTGGCCCAAAAACCTATAAATGCCTAGTATCAGTTTGCGGTCGACCGTCACGGTCGATCATCGGATATTATCTTTTAGCTTTTGGCTTTTATATACCCGCGGTCGACCGTGACGGTCGATCGTGATCCAACCAGAGAGTTTCGCGGTCGACCGCCAGCCTTAAAACCCTATACTCAGGATTTTTGTGCCTCGCGGTCGACCGCGAGATTTTCACGGTCGATCGCCGATCTAATCATTGGTTTTTAACGGCTATTTTCACAACAGCTCTCTGGGGGCTTTTTAGTCTTTTCAAGTTGGTTTTGGCTGATATTTGAGAGGGTATAAATACCCCATTGCTGTTCTTTTTTTACTTATCTAAGTTTTGTGTTTAACAAAATATTAAGCGTGTTTTAAAAGAGCTGTTTAAGAAAATTTAATCAGTCCATTTCAACAGAAATTTTCCTACAATAAGAAGTGGCTTTCAAATCCTATTGGGATCATCATCTACTGTTCTTCTTGTTTGAGAAGTTTTCTAAACTCTTATATAGCTTACTATTTCATTTTTATTTCATTAGCTATATTTATTGAGTTGTATTATTTTTATTCACTGATTATCACACACACATATTTGAGCTTAATATCTTCATACTATATAGTGTGGGTTGTGGAGTGTGATTTAATGAGTGTGAGCTTCATTTGCGTTCTCATTTGTTGTTGAGAATAAATTATTATATTTACCTTTATTTGTGAGTATCACTTGTAATACACTTGTACACCGAGAGAAATGTGAGGCGAGAGACGGGGTCAAATCCAATAAAGGAAATTGAGGGCTGGAAGTAATTTTCCCTTAAAAGAATTAGACTTAATGGTAAAGTAGAAGCAGAAGATATGGTGTAACAGGAGGAGGAGGAGGAGGAGGAGAAGAAAAGGAGAAACATGGAGAATGGAACAAAAATCGAGAAGGATATTATTAGGACTCGGAAGAAAACAGAGAAGGCAAGCAGCATTTGGACCATATTTATGCACGCAGATGTTGCTGATAAGTGGCTAATGGTCGCCGGCTTCCTCAGTTCTGTTGGGGATGGCTTTTCTATGCCACTCATGCTTCTAATCACTAGCAAGCTCATGAACAGCTTCGGAAATGAACAATCCTCAACTCAGCTCACACAGAGAATTAAAATGGTCATGCTTCTTTCTTGCTCTCATGTTTCTTTATGCATATATCTACTTACGCAAATTGTGCTTCTCTTTCTTTTTCAGAATGCTCTGCATATGGTTTACTTGGCATGCGGGAAATGCGTGGTTTGTTTCTTAGGTGCACACCCGCTTTCTTCTCTAGTTTCTCTTCACCGCTTTTGAAAATGAAGTAGGATGCTGATTGGTTTGGTGATCGCAGAAGGATATTTCTGGACAAGAACTGGAGAACGACAAGCGTCCAGAATGAGGACCCAATACTTAAAAGCCGTCCTTAGACAGGATATTGAATACTTCGACCTCAAAGGGGCCACTGCTTCGGACGTCATCACGAGTGTTTCCAGCGATAGCCTCGTACTCCAAGATGTCCTCAGTGAGAAGGCAAGTTTTGCTGCGGCCTCTTTAGAGAATGTCTCTTCTTTAGAGAATGTCCTAAATAGTTCGAGTAAGGTGAAACTTTTTTAGTTGTGCTGCAGATGCCCAATTCCATAATGAATTTTTCCACCTTTTTGGGGGGCTACATTCTAGCATTCATACTAGTATGGAGGATGGCTCTTGTGATGTTCCCCTTAGCTATTCTCCTCATCATACCGGGCATCATTTATCACAGAGTACAAACGGGTATTGCAAGAAAAAACAGAGAGGAATACAGCAAGGCCGGAGTTATTGTTGAGCAAGCTATTTCATCTATCCGCACGGTCTACTCATTTGTAGGGGAGGCAAAGGCCAAAGCAGAGTTCTCATCTACCCTTGAGGGCTCCGTCAAGTTAGGCATCCATCAAGGCTTATTGAAGGGAATTGCTCTTGGTTTCAACGGTCTCATACTTGCCTTTAGAGCCTTTGTCCCATGGTACGGTAGCCGCATGATCATGTACCATGGTGCTAAGGGTGGTGACATCTTCGCTGTGGGAGCTTCCATCTTGGCCGGAGGCCTGTAGTGCTTACTTACCCTACTGTAGATTCCTTCAGCTAATTCTCTTCTGATGCCTGCCACATTTTCTTTATTTTTGGTGAAAATATTTCTGCAGGTCGCTTGGTTCGGCCCTTTCAAATGTGACTGACATCTCTGAAGCAACAGCAGCTGGAGAAAGAGCCTTCAATGTTATAAGGAGAGTACCGAAGATTGATTCAGAATGTACAGATGGAGAGGTCCTTGAAAATGTTGTGGGGGAAGTTGAATTAAAGGGAGTGGAGTTTGCGTATCCTTCACGATCTCAGGACCTCGTTTTGAGGGGTCTCAACTTAAAGGTTCCAACAGGGAAGACTGTGGCACTTGTTGGAGGCAGCGGTTCGGGCAAGTCAACTGTAATTGCACTGCTGCAGAGATTCTATGATCCGGATAGCGGCAAGATACTATTTGACGGGGTGGACATCCGGAAATTTCAGCTCAAATGGTTGCGATCTCAGATGGGATTAGTAAGTCAAGAGCCTGCACTCTTCGCGGGGTCTATTAAAGAAAACATACTGTTCGGAAAAGAGGGTGCTTCAATGGATGAAGTGGTGGCTGCTGCTGAATCTGCCAATGCACACAATTTCATCTCTAATCTTCCTTTGGGATACGAGTCACAGGTTGCTTTACTTGATTATCTACCACTGATTCTACAGATAGTTGTCTACCTCATGGTTTCTTGTCTTCATAATTTGCTCACCATCTACTGAAAATTCACATGTATAGCACAAATTGCAGTTAATGGGGAGTAGAGGTTGCACCAATTGACGATAAAGCGAGAGAAAACCAGTTAAGATGGTTTGGCCATGTACTATGAAGGCCTAAATGCACCAATTAAGAGAATTTATAAGATGGTAGTTAATGGAGTTAATTAACAGGACTAGAGGTCGACTACTTAAAAAGATCTCGGTTAAAAACATCTAAGAAGTATATGATAATAGTTACCTTAATGAAGGAGATGGCCCATAATAGGACTGAAAGAAGATTAGGATTCATGTAGGCTATAGCCAACCCCATAAATTTGGGATAACGGCTTTGTTGTTGTGCTACCATAAACTATTGCCTTGCAATTACAACAATGCCACAATTATGAAGAGTTGCATCATTGATTTTTACCGATGCGCTGCTAGTTAATCAAGATGGTCCACAGGCTTCAGCTAATTAGGGAGTGAGGGTAGATTATTTATCAAAGAATTAAATTTGTGAGTGAATTATGTGTTCTAACTTGTAGCCATGCTTTTCATTGTCACGAATAGGTTGGTGAGGGTGGAATTAAAATGTCGGGAGGGCAGAAACAAAGAATAGCAATTGCAAGAGCCATAGTCAGGTCACCAAAGATCCTTCTACTTGATGAGGCTACTAGTGCCCTCGACTCTGAATCTGAGCGAGTAGTCCAAGGAGCACTAGATGCAGCCTCAGTTGGCCGGACTACCATAGTGATTGCGCACCGCCTCTCCACCATCCAGAAGGCCGATATAATTGCATTGGTCCAGGCAGGACGGATCATTGAAATCGGCTCCCATGATGAACTTATACGTGATGAGAGTTGCATCTATTCTTCATTGATTCGTCTGCAACAGACCGCACCATCAAATGCAGCACTTTGTTCAGCAACATCAGCGGCTTCTGCTTTGCCATTCTCACCCTCCATCGAGTGTTCCAACAGATGCGGTAATAGCACGAGCAGAAGGCTCTCACATGCTAGTAGATGTAGCTCGACGAGGTAAAAGAGATTTGAATATACCCGAGGACAGCTTCGAGTATCTGATTTATGGGAAATACTCATTATTTCAATATTATTTCTAAGTATAGCACTGACAATCAACTGACTTTCAAAGACTGCTATAGTTAATTCTAATATTTTGAAAGAGGCATGGGTCAAATTTCTGATCACATGATTTGTTTGGCCCCAAGTTATCCTTTATCTCAAGGAGGGGAAAAAGGAAATGTATACTTGCCACATGATTAAACCACGTCTTGTTGGGAATCTAACGCCGAAATCCCTAATGCAACAGAAACGCAGAATAGAAAAAAGTACACAAGATTTACGAGGTTCGGCAACTGCCTACGTCCTCGGGAGCCACACAGATAATTTCTTATTAATCAAACAAGAAATTACAATTCAAGAGCAAATCCCAAAACTGAGATTTCTCAAATAAACACTGTAGCTACAGTGTTAATAATTAAAGGGTATGAACCCTTTTCAAGTCTCACTTGAGAATAAAGAATAACCCCACAATATAAAACCCTCTTTAATTTTCTCTCTCTCTCTTCTTAAATCCCCTCAACTACTGTTGAAGGCTGGGGATTAAATCAAAAATCGCTGCAGCGATTTAGGGCAGTCCGCCGCCGCCAGAAGAAGAAAATCGGAGGAGGGGAGGAGAAGCTCTGCGCCGAAACCCTAGGGCATCAAAGGGGTTTATATAGGTGGAGTTGATGGGCTGGCGACAGCCTGTCGCCAGCGGCCCGCGGACGCAAAGGTGGGAGCGCTCGAACGCAAAGGTCGCCATCGCCAAACGCAGAGGTCGGAAGGAGTTCGAACGCAGAGCAAAAGTGGGGGGTTCGAACGCAGAGCTCGAGCTCGCCTGCGACCATCGAATCTCACCTGGGCTATGCCTCCAGCTTCGCCTGCGACTTCCGAAGCTCGCCTACGTCATCCTGGAGCTCGTCGGAGCTCCTCCCCCGTCGGAGGTTGGTATCTACCCCCAAATTAACAATCTTCTACTTGGAGACCAAACCGACGCTAACGGGCTATCTCATCAAGCTCCTCTCCTATGTGGCTCCGCCCTCATCATCTTATGCATGAAGGCCAACTGAAGTTGCGCACAACTCCAGTTTCTGAACGGTCACCGTCTTTGTTAACATGTCTGCTGGATTCTTACTTCCTGGAATCTTTTCTAGTTTCAACACGTCATCTTCCAACAGGGATCTGATGAAGTGGTACCGAAGCGCAATATGCTTCGTTCTAGAATGAAATGCTGAATTCTTCGCCAAGTGTATCGCACTCTGACTATCACTGTGCAAAACATTCTTCTCCTGTTTGAATCCCAGCTCTGTCAACAAACCCTGAAGCCATATCATCTCTTTACTGGCTTCAGTCACTGCAACATACTCAGCTTCTGTAGTGGATAAGGTAACGATCTTCTGTACCTGTGACATCCAACTAACAGCTGTAGTTCCAACGGTGAATACATAGCCGGTGGTGCTTCTTCGATGATCAACTTCACCGCCGAAGTCTGCATCTACGTACCCTTGCACTTCCACCTCTCCCTTACCAAAGTGCAAACACTTCTGTGTGGTGCCTCGTAGATATCTCAGAATCCACTTGACCGCTTCCCAATGAGCTTTTCCTGGATTCGACATAAACCGGCTGACCACTCCCACTGCATGGCCAATGTCTGGTCTCGTACAGACCATTGCGTACATCAAACTTCCGATAGCTGAGGCGTAAGGAACCTGAGCCATACTCTCTTTCTCTTCTTCTGACTGAGGAGACTGATCCTTCGATAAACAAAAATGGCTGGCCAAGGGTGTGCTCACAGGCTTGGCATCGCCCATGTTGAATCTCTGCAAAACACGGTTGATGTACTCCGTCTGAGATAACTGCAAGAGACCTCTCTTCTTATCTCTCGTGATTTGCATTCCAAGGATCTTCTTCGCTGGACCCAAGTCCTTCATGTCAAACTCCTTTGACAGCTGCTGCTTCAAACTCTTGATATCCTCCATATCTGCTCCTGCAACCAACATATCATCAACATACAGCAGTAGGATGATATAGCTGGACTGATATCTTTTGAAGTAGCAACAGTGGTCGGCGTTGCACTTCATAGCTGGACTGATAATTTTTGAAGTAGCAACAGTGGTCGGCGTTGCACTTCTGAAAACCTTCCTTGTGTGCATGAAGCCGTCAAACTTCTTGTACCACTGTCTTGGGGCTTGTTTCAGACCATACAAGCTCTTCTTGAGTCTGCACACCAGGTTCTTCTTCTTTTCTTCTGAGAAACCTTCTGGGTGGTGCATGTATATCTCCTCTTCTAGATCGCCGTGAAGAAACGCCGTCTTCACGTCTAACTGCTCGAGATGAAGATCTTCAATTGCTACAATACTCATCACGGTCCTGATAGTATTTAGCTTCACCACGGGAGCGAAAATATCGGTGTAGTCAATTCCTTCCTTCTGCTGGAAACCTTTGACAACTAGCCGGGCTTTATATCTTCTGGAACCATCCTGCTCCTCTTTCACCCGGTACACCCATTTGTTGTGGAGTGCCTTCTTACCCGTGGGCAACTCAGCTAGTTCCCACGTCTGGTTTGATATGAGAGACTTCATCTCATCTTTCATTGCAAGCTCCCACTTGCTCGCATCTCCACACTGACAAGCTTCATCAAAGCTTTCAGGCTCCCCACCATCTGTCAACAACAGATAGTTCATGTATCTCCTGTTGGGTACAGGAGGACGAGAAGATCTTCTTAATATCGGAGCTGGTGCGTCGGGCTTCTGCGCACCATCTTGTCCAACAGGCTCTTCTTGCTGAGGACCCTCTGCATTGGGTTCTTCCGAGAGGTTACTCGGGACATCATCTGCATCTATAAATGTGGACTCGCTCTCTGAGTCATCTGTCTTGTGCATGTCCTTGTACATCACCTTCTCGTTGAATATCACATCTCTGCTCCTGATCACCTTCTTGTTTTCGTTGTCCCAAATGCGGTAGCCGAACTCATCTTCACCATAGCCGATAAAAGTGTATTTTTTTGACTTGGGATCAAGCTTATTTCTGCCTTGATCACTAATATGCACGTAAGCTACACAACCGAAAACTTTAAGATGTGAGAGTTTTACCTCCTTTTCTCACCATACCTCCTCTGGTATTCTGTGCTCCAATGGAACCGATGGACCTCGGTTGATTAAGTAAGCTGCTGTATTGACCGCTTCTGCCCAGAACTGCTTCGGTAGGCCTGATTGTACTCGAATGCTTCTGGCTCTCTCTGTCAACGTTCGGTTCATCCGCTCAGCTACACCATTTTGCTGAGGCGTGCCGGGCACGGTTCTCTCCATTCTGATCCCGTGCTCATAGCAGAACTTCTTGAATCCAGTGTCTTCATATTCACCGCCATTGTCGGTCCTGAGCTTCTTTATTCTCAGACCGGTCTCATTCTCGACCATGGCTTTCCATCTTCTGAAAGCCTCAAACACTTCTGACTTATGTTTCAGAAAGTAGACCCATACTTTCCGAGTGTGATCATCGATAAAAGTCACGAAGTAGTGTTTCCCACCAATCGACGCAGTGGTGGTTGGTCCCCAAACATCTGAGTGAACGAGCTCTAGCTTCTGCCTCCTGGGGGTTCTGCCACTTGTCTGAAAGCTGACTCTCTTCTGCTTTCCAAGTATACATTCTTCACACATATCCATCTCCACTGACTGCAGTCCTGGGAGTTTTCCCTTTGTGTGCATGATTTTCATCCCCTTTTCACTCATATGACCGAGTCTCTGGTGCCACAGCTTTAAAATTTCATTGCCTGCTGCAACTGAGATCAAACAACGTGCACCTGCTGTCATATATAGGGTATCAGTCTTTCTGCCTCGGGCAATAGTCATTGCGCCCTTTGAGATCTTCCAATCATCTCCATGGAAGGTCGTGGTATATCCTTCGCCAGCCAACTGGCCTACGGATATTAAATTCTTTCTCAGGTCGGGAATATGCCTGACATCCTTCAGCTCCCATACTGACCCGTTCAACTTAATTTTCACCACGCCTTTGCCCACAATAGCATATGGTTGATCATCACCAAGATATACGTATCCAAGATTTCCGGGGATATACTTCTCGAAGAATTCTTTCTGAGAGGTAGCATGGAACGACGCTCCTGAATCTAACACCCAAGATTCCTCCTTGCTCTCCAAAGAGCATATCAACGCGTCGTCTCCTCCTGAAGTAGAAGTGACATTCACCTCCGCCTTCGCTTCCTTCTCCTTCTGTGCACTCTTGCACTGATTCTTGTAATGCCCGGTCTTCCACAATTCCAACACTCGATAGCCTTCGAGGTGTTGCTTGGATTCCTTGACTTGGACCTCCTGTCCTTTGATCTACCTCTGAAGTTTGATTTTCCTCGTCCGTTTCTTCTGGTTGAATTTCTACCTCTTGACTCTGTATGTAATACTGAAGAGGTTGTAGCTTCACCCGTTTCTCTCCGTCGGATCTCCTCACTGAGAACCAAATCACGAACGTCGTCGAACTTCAACTTTTTCTTTCCCGATGAGCTACTCACTGCCGTGACTGTAGCGTTCCAACTCTCTGGTAGGGAAGACAAAAGTATCAACGCCCGAACTTCCTCATCAAACTCAATCTCAACTGAACTCAATTGGGTTGTAACCGTATTAAGTTCATTGAGGTGTTGTGCTACTGACGCGCCTTCCGCCATTTTCAGATTGAATAACCGCCGCATCAAATGAACTTTGTTCGCGGCTGATGGCTTCTCATACATGTTTGAGAGTGCTGCCATAAGACCCGTCGTGGTCTTCTCCTTCGCTATGTTGAACGCAACATTTCGAGTTAATGTCAATCTGATAACTCCGAGGGCTTGTCTATCTAGAAGGTTCTACTCATCTGTCTTCATAGAATCTGGCTTCTTCCCCGATAGTGGTTGATACAGATTTTTCTGATACAGATAATCCTCTATCTGCATTTTTCAGAATCCGAAATCTGATCCATCAAACTTCTCTATTCTCACCTTTCCCTCATCTGCGGCCATAATGGCTCCCACTTGAATCTGACTTCCTCTAGATCGTTTCACGCTCTGATACCAGTTGTTGGGAATTTAAACGCCTAAATCCCTAATGCAACAGAAACGCAGAATAGAGAACAGTACACAAGATTTACGAGGTTCGGCAACTGCCTACGTCCTCGGGAGCCACACAGATAATTTCTTATTAATCAAACAAGAAATTACAATTCAAGAGCAAATCCCAAAACTGAGATTTCTCAAATAAACACTGTAGCTACAGTGTTAATAATTAAAGGGTATGAACCCTTTCAATTCCCACTTGAGAATAAATACCCCACAATTAAAATAATTTTCTCTCTCTCTCTTCTTAAATCCCCTCAACTACTGTTGAAGACTGGGGATTAAATCAAAAATCGCTGCAGCGATTTAGGGCAGTCCGCCGCCGCCAGAAGAAGAAAATCGGAGGAGTGGAGGAGAAGCTCTGCGCCGAAACCCTAGGGCATCAAAGGGGTTTATATAGGTGGAGTTGATGGGCTGACGACAGCCTGTCGCCAGCGGCCCGCGGACGCAAAGGTGGGAGCGCTCGAACGCAAAGGTCGCCATCGCCAAACGCAGAGGTCGGAAGGAGTTCGAACGCAGAGCAAAAGTGAGGGGTTCGAACGCAGAGCTCGAGCTCGCCTGCGACCATCGAATCTCACCTGGGCTATGCCTCCAGCTTCGCCTGCGACTTCCGAAGCTCGCCTGCGTCATCCTGGAGCTCGCCGGAGCTCCTCCGCCGTCGGAGGTTGGTATCCACCCCCAAATTAACACGTCTTGCACGGTAACCTAGGTAGCACAGATGCGGGTGCGGACAAGGACAATGATACGAAAACAGGACACAACAAATTTGTAAAATGTAGGATACAGGGACGCGGCTATAGACATACAATTTATATTAGATCAAATATCTATTATCTATAACAATTAAGAATGAAGTTAGATCAAACTAGGAATAAGGTTTAGCAACAAAAATTTAGCTTTGATCGCATGGGATAATACAATGGGAAGATTTCAAATATATAAGTAATGGGCATCAGTTTTCAGGTTCAAAATCGTTTGGTTTTGAACCCTATATATATTACCAAAGAAACTAGTTTATGGTATCTGTAATGGGGAAATTGGGGTTTGCTTTGAATCCAACGTCCATAGCACGTCCGCTGAGAATTCTTGTCCGACACATGTCAAGTACAGACACGGCACCCAAAACGCCGTGTCCGCATAACCTAGACAGTAACATATTAGCATAACTTAAAATCCCATAAGGATAGTGAACACTTGAATCTTTTTTTTATATCAAATAGAAATCAACCATGTGTCCATTTAAACTAATGCATATCTTACCAAATTTACACAAGAAAGACATTTTCGTCTAAGTCATACTCTATCTGTTCTTCACTGTATTTATGTTTGTGCTTGTGGCCAGATCTCTTCATGATGCACTCGGAACTGGAGATGCTGTTGAGACTGAGCCCGAACCTAATGTTGCAGTTCCATCTTTTAGAAGGTTATTGATGCTGAATGCACCTGAGTGGAAACAAGCGTTGATGGGGTGCTTGGGGGCACTAACACTCGGAATGATACCACCTTTAAATGGATACATCAATGGGGGCTTGATATCAGTGTACTTTCTAAAAGATCATAGCGAGATGAAAAGCATGATAAGGATATATGCTCTCTTCTTAGCATCTCTATCCGTTTTTTTCTTGTTGGTCAACATTGTGATGCACTACAACTTTGGAGTAATGGGGGAGTATCTCGCTAAGCGGGTGAGAGAGCAGATGTTTTCCAAATTTCTTACTTTTGAAGTTGGTTGGTTTGATAGGGATGATAACTCAACAGGAGCCGTCTATTCTCGACTTGCGAAGGATGCAAATGTGGTCAGTATGAAGAAGATCCTCTCGTCCCTTTTTGAAGTTAATGATTTTAGAACATAGCTAAACTAGATAGCACGGATATGGGTATGCACATGGACACGGACACGGATGCGGACATAGGACACGTCAAATTTGTGAAATGTAGGATACGCGGGCATGCCACGGGTACACACACAAGATGAAATATTGAATTAAAATATCTATAACATTGGTAGCTTTCTATTATTTGTAACAATTAAGAATCAAGTCAAATCAAATTAAGAATAAAGTTTAACAACAAAAGTTTAGTTTTGATCACATGGAGTAATACGATGGGTATTTTTCAAATATTTAAGTGATGAGTTTCAATTTCCGGATTCAAAAACCGTTTGGTTTTGAACCAAATACTACCAAAGAACTAGTTTATGGTATAAGTAATAGATAAATCGGTTTTGTTTTGAACCATACGTGTCCATGGCGTGCCCAAGGAGAATCTGTGACCGACATGTGTCGGACATGGACACGGCACCAAAAGGCGTGTTCGAGTAAACTATATAGTTAACAACTACCAGTTATTTGGTATAACTGTAAGATCATTCTAGAGAAGCTTTAGAACACGGGTGAACATATTTGAATCCTGATGGGGCAACCATAAAAAAAAAAACTTTAGTAAAGCTTAAGACCCTCTATGAAAGTTTAGCTGTGAAATGAGAAAGTTAACCCCAGTACCCTTTGGTGATCAAGGTTTGTATCCTCAAGGTGCTCCTAGTAGAAACTATTTCTCAAACACCAGAAATTTCTGGTGTAACTTTAAAAGGGAGAGATATACTTCCAAGGCCACCTATTTGTTAAGAACTGAAAGAATATGATTTAATTTACTTGAGCAAGTCACATGCATGCATGTGTTTCTGATATTTGAACAATATTGTGGTCATGGTTATCACTAAGCAAACACTTATCTATTCCATTCTTTAAAACCTCTGACCACTTGGCTAATTGCAATAGTAATATATGGGCAATGTTTGTAGCTATTATCGATAAAGATAATACTGCATAGTTTCTGAGAAAAAATTCAGTTCCCAACATTGAAATTCTCATTGCCGAGCAAGACAATCAATTATTGGAGTGATTGTATGTGATTGTAGGTGAGATCATTGGTGGGTGATCGAATGTCTTTCCTTATTCAGACTCTCTCAACAATTGCAATTGCAGGCATCATCAGTCTGATCATCTCATGGCGTCTAGCCACGGTCATGATAGCGGTCCAGCCCATCATCAGCATTTGTTTTTATACCCGCAGCATTCTCCTCCAGAGCATGTCAAACAAGGCCATCAAGGCTCAAGCCGACAGCAGCAAGCTTATTGCTGAGTCCGTCTCCAATATCCAAACTGTTACTGCATTCTCTTCACAGAACCATATTCTTCACCTTTTCAACCTCTCGCAAGATGGCCCTCGACGTGATAGCATCCGCCACTCATGGTTCGCTGGCATTGTGCTTGGCACATCCCAAAGCCTCACAGCCTTCACTTTTGCCCTTATCTTCTGGCAAGTATAGAACACGTCCTCCATCTATATTTGAATAGAAGCATTAAACCCAATAAAAAAAATGTCTTTATTCCCTTGCCAAATAGAGCTTAAAATCAAATTTCTATTAGACAAACAAAACCAAAAGTTTTCACAACATATCTTACAGGTACGGAGGCCAGCTCGTAACTCGAGGTGACCTTAGTTCCAGGGGCCTCTTTCAGATCTTGATGATCCTCTTCATCACTGGACGTGTAGTTGCTAATGTCAGCAGCAGGACTGCAGATCTTGCCAAGGGTGCCGATGCAGTCAGTTCTGTCTTTGCTGTGCTTGATCGAGCCACCTTCATTGACCCTGAAGACCAAAATGGCCACTGCCCTGAGAAACTAAATGGTCGCATTGAAATCAGAAACGTCGAGTTTGCATATCCAACGCGTCCTAACATGATAATCTTCAAACGATTCTCCCTTGACATTGATGCTGGCAAATCTACAGCTCTCGTTGGGCGGAGCGGGTCTGGTAAGTCCACTATCATAGGGCTCATCGAGCGATTTTATGACCCGTTGCATGGAACAGTGAACATCGACGGGATAGACTTGAAATCATATAACCTTCGCTCGCTTCGCAGGCACATCGCTCTTGTGGGACAGGTACTTGCATAACTATTTCTCCATCCTGATTTATGTTTGATTGACAAACTAAGTAGGCCCTCTCCAAATATGTGATGTGCGCGGACCACTTACTCATGTTTCCATGAGCTCATTAGCTATGCTTAGTATGGGTATCCATCAGGAGTCACTCCCATCTTTGTTATGCGCCTATTTGACTGTGCACATTTTGTTGTATTTATCCTCTTTTCAACAAGCATTTTTTATCAAGTTGTAGAATAAACGTGGGAATAATTTGGTGACCACCTAAGTTAATTAGCAAAATAGGGCCAATTTATCAAATCAAGAAGCAAAGGACAAGATCTATTGGAGGAATCCCTAAATGCATGGGGGGAAATGTGGTAGAAACTGCAGTTACTTTTTCTAATTTTTGTTTCTTATACAACAGGAGCCAACACTCTTTTCTGGGAGTATTCGCGATAACATTGCATACGGAGCAGAAGGAGCAGCAGAGACAGAAATACAAGCCGCTGCAAAAGCAGCCAATGCACACGGCTTCATCAGTGTCCTACAACACGGGTATGACACGAGGTGTGGAGACCTTGGGCACCAGCTATCCGGTGGACAGAAGCAAAGAATAGCGATTGCAAGGGCAATCCTTAAGAATCCCGCGATATTATTATTGGACGAGGCTACAAGTGCACTTGATAGTCATTCAGAGAAAATCGTGCAAGAAGCACTAGAGAAGGTGATGGTTGGGAGGACGAGCGTAGTTGTTGCTCATCGTCTCAGTACGATACAGAACTGTGATCTTATTGCAGTTTTTGAGAACGGAACGGTGGTTGAGATGGGATCTCATTCTTCGCTCTTAGCGAAGGGGCCTAATGGATCTTACTGCGGCTTGGTCAAAGCTTCAGCAAGCTCATAAGGCTTTGTTGCGCATATATAGACCCCTAGTGTCTGCCAAAATGTCGTCCATAGTAAAGAGTAAAAAAAAAAATCATCAAAGGGACCTACCTGTCAAAATGAAACTACAGGGACAGTAAGTTCTACCACAAGGCGTTTGTGTGCAATTAGCCCTTGAAATAAATTTAACAGGATGCAGAAAGTTTTCGTGAACTTCTTTTTTCTTTTTGGACACATGTTGTAAAAAAACAGCTTGTGCTAGTCAACTCGTGTAAGTAATTTTAGCATCAATATTATTCACAGATCAATTATACGCTTCGGTCAACATGAGTTCTGCTCTATCTTTGTCTGCACCAAAATGTAAATCTTTTCCATCTCCGACCAGAGTTCACTACTCCGCCTCTATGAAAAGGTCCAGAGCTGATCCAGTTCAATTTATTTATTTTTCTTCTATCTATGTTTCTTTTTCAAAAGGTTAGGATTTGTATTTACTGATAAAGAAAATTATAACAATGCATTAGGAGAAGGAAATTCTGTTGAGCGTCAACCAGAGCCTAACCTTGCAGTGCCATCTTTTAGAAGGTTATTGATGTTGAATGCACCAGAGCGGAAGCAAGCAATGACGTTTCCTATTTGAGACCATCTGTTTACTGATTCTGAAGAAATCACATGAATGTGTTTCTGATAATTGAATGTGCTTATAGGTATTAAAGTGACTCTATGTGGTTGCAGGTGAGGTCATCGGTGGGTGATCGGATGTCTTCCCTTGTTCAGGCTTCCACGACAATTGCCATTGCAGGCTTCATCAGCCTTATCATCTCGTGGCGTCTAGCCACGGTCCTGGTAGCGGTCCAGCCCCTCGTCATCGTCTCCTTTTATACTCGCAAGGTTCTCCTCCAGAGAATGTCAAACTAGGCCACCAAGGCTCAAGCTGACCGCACCAAGCTTAACGCCGAGTCTTGTCTCCAATGTCCGCACCGTCACTGCACTTTCTTCTCAGAACCGTATCCTTCACCTCTTCAACCTCTCTATATCATTAATATATATATTATATATCATGTCCGTGACCTAACTTTTACAAATTTCCTCGTGTCCGTACCATACCGTGTATGTACACGTACCCTGCTAGCAAGCTAGACGAGAAGATAAAGGAGAAATCAGCCATCAGGCTTTGGACTACGCCAACATACTTCCGGCAGAGCCATGACCGGCGGTGCTATCACAATGAGGCCCTCTTGGAGAG